ATCAGACAGGACCAGAACTTCAGACAAAGCACCGCAGTCTAAGGCTGTAACTTTGTGGTTGCTCTCTGTGGCCTTAGCACCACTGTTCTAAGAAAGCATGAGCAGGCTTTTCTCAGCAAACTATGCCAACAAGCAGCTTTTGCACAGGGGTAATTTTACAAGCAGTGTTTGTTTCACACATCAGTTCTGACTTTAGTATACCAGTGCAAAGCACAGCTTTGTTGACGTAGCTCCTTCTGTACTAATTTTTGAAAGTGCATTGCATCAAACATTCCCTTCGGGTCAAGGAAGACAAGTGTTAGCAGTGAGAGATTGGGCTTTAAAAGTTATAAAATGCATTTCTTTTAATTAGAGATGTTTTTGTAAAAGTGGTGCTTTAATGCCAGAGCTGCTATAGGAGCTAAGGCCTTGATATAAGTTACGTGCAAAATAATTTATAGTTCGTTTTCAGTCTGTTCTTAAGGAGGTGCTGTGTTGCAAAGAAGGATGAACTGTGAATTTGAAAATTACTCTGCAGAGGGACTCAACCAGTATTCCCTGAGGGGCCTGCTGGTATTCATTTGGCATAAAGAGGTATTTTCTCACATACCCTTGAAAACATGCTCTAACAACCAGTTCATTGGTGTCTTGTTTTGTTTTTTTTCCTCTGTTGGCTGCTCAGCAAGAGGACAAAGTGAACTATAAAGGTTTAGAACAGAGCACCCTTAGGACTTGACTGGAAGAGGGCTGCTGTTCTTCTAAGGTTAGGGTTGCTGTGCTTAAACAACATGGCACAATGAGCTCCAGTCCTAAATTTGACAACGAGATTAGTAGGGCTAACATCTTTAGGTGATTTCCAGGTTCAATTCCCATGTAAAGACAGATTTTACATTACTGAATCTATTTTTGTCAAAGAGTAATGCTTTGGGGTTTGATATGATGAGAGATAAGCCAATAGGTGTGGTATCACTGAGTATATCCTCCCTCCTGGGTTTAAATGGTGTGTCACATAGTCATGTATTTTGGCCAAGTATTTCTTGAGGGGCAGGACATAAAAATAGGTGGAAAAGCAAACTTTAGTTTTACAGGATGAAGCAGCTGTCACAAAGGAAATGAGTGGGATATACGTGATCCCCTTTAGGAATGCCTAGTTACTGAAGACTCTTATTTACCTTTCGACAGTACTTCTTTTAATGCTGTTTTATAAGTTCTTGAGAAGGAAGTTTTACATTTTGTTTCTGTTTTGTCACCTCAGGACAAAATTGAAAAATCATGAGCCATAAGTGCTTATTTGGGGGGAAAAAAATTCCCTCTGCTGTTTATAACATTTATTTATGTTGAAATTACACTCTTCGGTGCTATATAACTAATAATAAAAGAGTTCTCCACCATAGATTTTGTCTTCTATACTTGATTTGTCCAATTGCAGTCACGTTGGAGATAGTGTATTAGATGCATTCGACCTTTCATCTGACCCAGGATGCTTGTTCTTCACAAGTTTGTGTTTAGGGAGTTTAGTATTTAATATATAGGTAGCCTGAAATCTTAGCATAGAGCCACACCTACACATCCTAGGATAAAAAGACAGATGGAAAGTCTTCTTTCCTGTCTCCATTCTGCAGTGCTCTTCTTCCTTCATTTGTTCACACTTCTCAAGGTCTCCCTCAGTGTAATTTCTGTTGCTTTTATACTTCTCCCTGGGTGTGTGCATACTTGTGCTCTTCATTCTTTAAACCCCAGCAACCTTGGCATTGGGTTTTGTGGTTTTTTTTCCCTGTAGGGGAAATTGACATATACTGCAGCCCATACTTTTGTTTTGCCTGAAGCTCACACGTATGCCATGGTTCCCTCGAAAGTTGCTCACCCTGTTCAGCTGTTTGGAAGAGAAGAAAACTAGAGCAGCAGAAAAGCTTTAGAATGGGAAAGAGGCAAGGTCTTCAGTGAAGTAGATGTGCAGAACTAGATCAGAACTTCCTTAGCTCCCTTTGAAAATCCCCACCTTCATCAAGGTCACCAAGGATCTCAGGTAACACTCATCAAGTCATCCGCTCCCAGGAGCACCTATCTCATGCCTTCCTTATTTCAAAGGTCCTTTGTCAGGGCTAATCCTGCTTGTGTCTGAGAGGCTTTACTGGGAGACTGGCACTGTTGCTTCTTTGCTAGAGCTTCATCAGTTCACAAAGTCGTTGAATCTGGTGGCAAATCAACCTAAATCTCAGCAAAATGCAAAGACGTAGGCCAGTCTGTGTCCCATGTGCCTGTTTTCCCACAGTTCCCTTTCTCCTATTCAACTTTTCCCAGTTGGCATCCGTTTCTCAAGAGACACTGTTGCTTTAACAGCTGTTTTGTTTCATTTAAACACCTACCTCAGCTCCTGTCCAAAATGCAAACATTTCATTAGCACCTCATCTCCTTGGCTTCAGCCCACAGCACTCAGCCATAATGAAGTGCTGCGCTCAGAAATATAATGTGGGGAACACTTGATTAATGCACTGAGGCAGGTGAGGGGATTGACCCTCTGGGAAAAGCAATGGACTAAATTCATCTTGATGTATTGCCAATGATGACAGTCTACCAACTTGCTCAGATATGTGTTAGAGACCTGAACTGAAGTCCTTGGAAATCCTTCTGGAGGTTTAGAGTCAGGCCCTGGATCCAGGGTGACATGAAGTGGCTACTTTCAGGCTTGTCACTTGAAGATGCTACTTGGATGGAGAGCACAAAACACTGTGCACATAAGTGAAAAGGTGGCACATAAGGCCTACGTGAGGTTCTCTGTCAGGCTTTGTATGCACACATAATTTGTTAAAAGAAAAATTATATATATATTACTTTTCTGAGGAAAAATCTTTGCAGCATGTGTTTCACTATAACAGAAATATCTTGGCATCTGTTTCATGTTTAGACAAATAGACATAACCTTTCCATCCAGAGCCAGAAGCTAGATCTGCTGCAATGACTATTCCCGCCATTCAGATATTGATAAAAGTATCTAGCATGTTGTTTTAATAGAGATTTAAAAACAACATTAGTAGCTGAGCTGAATGGATGTAAGGTAAATTGTAGCCTGCATGGTAACATTGAAAGGGGAGAAAAATCCTAATATTCTGCTTTCCAGGAATATAAGATCTTTGCAAGAAAAGACCATGTTGTGTGGAACCTGTGCAGCAAAATAGCCAAGGTTTTTGCTCACTGTGAAAGAGTAACACCTTCTTTCTGTCTGCAAAGAGATAAGCTACTTTAGTAAACCACAGAATTTTATGAAGAGCTGCAGCAATCAGGCTTCAAGATTTTAAAACACCAGAAAAGCATGCTGAATTGCTATGGATTTTTAGTATTTCTTTAAATTAAAGTTAACCATCTTTTCCTGTATACATACTGCATTTGTTAAGATGATTTTTAGACTATTCAAGAATATGTGTTTGATAGTCAATTTAAGAAATTGATTTATGGCTAATAAGTTGTACTTAATAGCAAATGGGGAAGGGATCCCAGTCTTGCACTGTAAAGGCTTCACAGCAAAAATTTTTTTGCAGTAGCGATAGAGGAAGAGATTTTCAGCCATTTCAGTTTGCTTCAGTGGTGGAAGCATTGGCTGTTCTACCCTTTGGAAACCAAGCTATGAGGCTCAGGAAAAATGCCTCTTAACCAAGGCAGTAGCTCCAGGTAGGGGAAGATCTACTTAAGGTAAAGGAGGGATTTGGCATAAGAACAAATGAATTATTTTGTCATGAATTAAATTGGAAAGTATGGGCTTTTTAGTGTCAGAGCAGCCCAATTCTGGCTCAGTCTTCCAATAGGAGCTGCAGTGGTATGAGAAACTTTTAAACCTGAAGGATGTTTAGGATGAAGATGCTCATGACATTGTCTCCGTTAATTGTCTTTTCTGGAATCAAAAGCACCAGGAGAGGGAGACTCAGCTGCCTTCACTTTTCTGTGAACATTGCAGTAGCTGAATCTTCCTGAAGGTCACCTGCATACAACAATAAAATTTTATTCTGGTTCAGTGTGATTTTATTCTTCCTCTGCACATTTGTATCTGACCATGACTGGTGAAGGGGAGTCAGGATGCCCTAAATTCACAGTGCCTTGTGATGCCATTATTACTCTCTTCCTTAGGGTTCTGCTAGAGAGCAAGCCATGCTGCATCCTCTCTCTATTCATACATCATCTTGAGGGTGGGTTTAGAGACAGTCAGGAGTAGAAACTGAAGTGTTTCCATGAAAGTGACCCACGGAGTATCCTTTAGGCTTGCAGCATGTAGAAAGCCCACAGGACTGTCTGTCTTGAAAAACAGTACTTTGGGTTTGATGCCTATGTTTGATGCCTGATGCTTTCAGCATGCAGAAAATTAAGAGTGGCAGCTTCATCTTAAAGGGAAGGTTGGTTTATGCAGTCAGTGATAGCTGGCAGTGGAAATGTTTCTTTGTGGGGCAGGCCTGCCGGATGGCTGACTCTTTCCCAGATTGAGACATTTGAAATGGAGCGTCTTATCTACATCTCTATGGGCACCTGCTTGTTCTCTGGATGAAGGGATGTAACTTAACTGTTTCTGTGTCTCACTGCCTGTTAGAGATTATGTGGTGGGAAACGCTCTGGAAAGAGCGTAGCCATTGCAGATGGATACTAGAGAACTTCTGTGAGTGTCCTAGCCTGGCTTCTGAATCTTATTGCAGAAATAGCAGCAACTTACTTCACAGATAGCTTTTGAAGTATATTTTCCTGCATGTTTCTTTAGGGATTTCCACATCCCCCTTCCACTGTCCCTGACTCTTAATTCCTTCTTAATCTGAGCTGATGGTCATGGAAGCTGAAAATCAAGTAAAATCAAGATTTCCTCCCGCTCTCATCTAATGCAGTAAATGATGACTAGCTTCATTGTAGGCTGCACCAGTGGGTGGGGAATGACATGCTGTCCTGTCCCTATGTGTGTTGAGAAGAAAACTGGGCGTATGTCAGAGGTTTCAGAGGTGCACTAGGTTTGCTCAAGCCCTTTCTTACTCAGTTCCTCTCCTTTGCAGGCCATGGTGGAAACGGTGAACAACCTCCTGCAGCCGCAGGCTCTGAATGCCTGGAGGGACCTGAATGCAAGTGAACAGCAACGTGCAGCCACCAAATTGCTTGACACTGTGGAGGACAGTGCCTTCGTGCTGGCTGATAACCTGCTGAAGACTGACATTGTCCGTGAAAACACCGACAATATCCGTAAGAGAATGAGCCCATAGATACTGGGAGCACCAGAGGGAGAGTAAGGGTTGTGAAACCTGACTTCAGTCTTGGCTCTACATTAACTGGAGAGCAGTGTTGGATGTGTCTTGGCCATTGGTGTGAAAAACTTAGAAGTCTTTCCAAAAGAGCCTAAGGGAATAAGATAGCTCCCTGTCCTTGAAATCCCATGGGAAAAGAGAACTTAAACTGCCTTTATTACTCCTGGCTTCAAGTGCAAAATCTGTGCTAGCACACTGAGAGTGTTGTTTCACAGGGAGATGGTTCATCAAAATGCAATTGTGTTTCATTTCATACAAATTTGTGTCTTTATTTGGCTGATTGTTGATTTTAATTAAAAAACAAGCATGATGGAAAGCACCAGAACTCCCACTGTGCATATGTAAAATGAGAACAACTCTTCTTTCTTTTTCTTTGAATACAGATCCCAAGAACTGATAACATTTACAGAAAGTACCAATTGCCAGTGGCAAAGAACTAGCATTTTCAGATTTTCATTTTAACCATTGTCCTTAATATCCTGAGGTTCTTCTTTACAAGAACTAGTTGTCTTTTGTCTTCCACAGAGAACTGGATTTATTTTATTTTTTATTTTTTATTTTTTAATTAAATCTGAAACTTCTTCAGGGCAAAGATTTAGAAAGAAAGAGTCTAGTGTGAAACCTTGTAACTTGATTCCTCTACTTTCAGATGGTCTGGAACACCATTTTTTAAATTTCAAGTATTGTGTAGGTAATTATTTTCAGTAGTGACTTTTCTTTCTGTTGGTCTCTCTTGCAAACAGAGCTGGAAGTTGCAAGACTAAGCACAGATGGCAATCTGGAAGATCTGAAGTTTCCCCAGAACACGGGCCATGGGAGTGCCATTCAACTTTCTGCAAATACCTTGAAACAAAATGGTCGGAATGGTAGGTACAGCACCTCTGGCCATGCTGGCCTTCTAAATCAGTTGTGCTTCAGGCATTGTTTGTGAATGGCTTGCAATTATTGTTTTGTTTTTAACCAGTTATAAGTTTAGTATTAATCACTGTTATTATTTACATTAATGTTAATGTTAGTTGCCCTTGACTGAAGGCTACATTGGTTCACAAGGAATGTATTATGTTACCAAGTGACTGACAGCCTTCAAAAGCATCATATAGTGGTAGAAATACACCAGATCCCTACGACGTGTTTGTTGGGGCACAGTGCTGCATCCAGAGAAGTACTTTTAACTAATGTTATTTGCCATGGAAGCCTTCCTTCCCATGGAATAAGAGCCTTGTATGAGTAACCTGCTTCACACTTGGGCTCTGTGCAGGTTTCTGAAAGGAAAGGAAAGAAACAATAGCAGCAAATCTTAATAATGTGTCAACATGGCAGAAAATCTTGATTAACTGTTAAGAGTTTGCATCTTTAGTGCCTTCCTCTCTGAAGGTTTTGAACCTACTAATATACCATAAATTTAAGATGATACTGAGTGTGAATAGTCTTCAAGCTGTCTGGTTATTTATTTCCAGATCAGAAATTTGAGCAGATACATTTGTTGATCTCTCCAGCCTCGCTATAAGCCAACTTTAAACTGCCATGCTTTCTATTGATGGGACTGACATGGTCCTGTTTATGAGTTCCTTTAAAGTTTATACTTCATTCAGTCACTTTACTGCTCTGCAAGGAAGGAGTGTGCATTTTGCAATGGCTGTTTTTTCAAGATTAAGCTGTATGTAGGGGAAAAGCACTCTATTGCAGAGTTTGATCACTACACAGTGTAATAGGACAGCATTACAGCCAAACTAGATGCATTAAAACTGCCAAAAGTTCAGACAATTGCTGAGACAAAAATTTGATTCAGTGGCTCAGAAAGAGAGCTTTGCCATTGGCTTCCTTGATGGGTTTTGATACTTCTAAATGCAGAGTTTAAAGAACAGTGTTTCTTTTAGAGTTGGTGTAAAACCCGAGATGAGCAGCAAAATTCCAGTGGGATAGGCATTTCACCAGTGAGCTTTGGAGAAGATTTGCGGAGAAAGGAAGGAAAAGTTGGCAGAAGGAAGGAAAAGTCTTTATTTCTAAGTATATCAGTGGAGTTCTGGTCAAATTGAGAGAGCCCCATCAATTTTTATCAGCTTGGCATTCACCTAGAGGTTTCCAAACAGCTATGAAAGAAATTATTGTAGAAAAATTAAGCTTGGGAAGGACCTTTGGAGTCATCAGTGCTTCACCTTCTGCAGAAGCTGAAGTGAAACAAAAAATATTCCCCACAACTTATATTTATAAGACAAACTAATCACATTTGGTTCTTATTTGAAGTCTGTGAATTAAAACAGGAAGCCAACAGAATGATCTCAGCTAAAAAAAACAAAACAAAAGAAAACAAAACAAAAAGTTGACTGGTAGTGTGGTGCAGGTTCCCTAGTGGTGGGTATTTATGGGAAGAGGGTTATATGATTGACAAATTTCTGCTGTTTTTGTTTTGTTCTTCATATGAGATTGGAATTGCATTGGAAAGTTTTGGATTTCCTCTCCCAGAATTGACCTCGCACTTCTCTGAAGTAGTCCTGATTTATTAATGGGGGTTGTGTTGGACTAAATTATAGTTTTACACTGCAACTCTATGGCAGGCCAGAATGAAATATGTTTCCCAAGCGTTGCCTGGAGAATAGTGTTAAGTCAAGTGGGAAATGTGTCGCCTGGCCTCTTTTCTCTGGAGTCAGTTTTTCTACTGATTCCAAAAATAAGCTCACCTTTGCTGTCCGTTTACTTCAGTGTGTTTGCTTAAAAGAGTTTGTTTTGCAGTGGCAGCTCTTGCCTTTTCATCCTTGGACCAGTCAGTGTATTTCATGATGCTCACTGGTATAGGCAGGAGAAGGTGAATTTTTCATACACCACTTCTTGATTCATTCATGCTTTCTCCCCCCCCAAAAATTTAAGTTCATTCAGAGAAGAAATTTGTCATCAAAGATGAAAGCCAGTGCACTAAGCTAGATGTCTAACTTCATGCTGCTCTCCTAGGTGAAATCAGGGTAGCTTTCGTGCTGTACAACAACTTGGGCACCTATCTCTCCACGGAGAATGCTAGCATGAAATTAGGAACTGAAGCGATGTCTACTAATCACTCCGTCATCGTCAACTCCCCTGTCATCACGGCAGCAATAAACAAAGAGTTCAGCAATAAGGTTTACCTAGCTGATCCCGTGGTCTTTACTGTCAAGCATATTAAGGTGAGCAAGTTTGAAAACCATTTTTTTTTTTTTTTTTTTAATTCTGTCTCTATTATAAAGTGCCACAGAAGTTTGGTGATCTGAGGCCCCCAGCAGTCCTTGATTAGATTTTGAATTACGCATTTGTTCCTCTGCGCTTTGAGTTGTTTATGGGGAATATCTCTTTTGTATTGCTTTAATAAAAGTAAAGAAAGTCTCCTTTGAGCTGATGTCCATTGCTCAGTTGCTGACATACGTCATTCTGTAATTAAAAACCAACAATATATTAGAATGGGCCATAATATTATTTTATCATGGTGGCAGGGGATATTAGAGGGAAGTGGAATTACAGTGAAAAAGGACAGCTAGCACTCCTGTTAGCCAAGCACAGTCATTGCTAAAGTTGATTGCTTAAAGCAATTAATTTCTCCGCTCTGCAATGCAAATGAAGCAATCTGGTTTTGAAGAGCTGAATTTAGTCTATGTCTGAAATTAATCAAGAACAAAGAACTAGGTTTGTATTAGCAATGAGAGCAGCAACAACCTAACTTTCTCTGATGCTGACAAGTAATACTCGACTTCGAAGTCATTGTTGATTGTTTATCTAAAATTAAAGAGTAAGAGTTACAAAGTGCCTCTGGGGGAAAAAAAAAAAAAAAAGGAAAGGTAATGTGTTTAGAAATCTCTGAAACGCTATCATTTTACTGCATTTGCTCATTGTTTCCCTGCAGCAGTCAGAAGAAAATTTCAATCCAAACTGTTCATTCTGGAGCTATACTAAGCGTACCATGACAGGGTATTGGTCCACCCAAGGATGTCGCCTCCTGACAACTAACAAGACGCACACCACATGCTCCTGCAATCACCTAACCAACTTTGCAGTCCTGATGGCACATGTGGAAGTTAAGGTAAGCTTTGCAGATTCACAGGCTGCCAATGCACTGAACAGTTGCCAATATAACAACATGTTCAGCTGCAAAAGGCAGCTGAACAGGGAAATTGCTGTGTCACAGTAACTCTAATGGTAGAAATCTTCTGTCTGCTATGGAGTGAAAAAGTAGACAGTCACACCTGTGCAAAGACTGCACTGATCTCCTGGCATGGGCAGCTCAGAACTGCAGATGACTGGTGGACAAAACTGGCCATTGATTCCACACATCCTTTGCATAACTGGTCCCATAACATATCCTGGCTCCATCCTTGCTCTCAGGGTCCTAGCTGTACCAGCAGGGAGCAGCAAGCACCTGCATGGTGGAACAGGAGCAAGCAAAGACTGCCTTGTTGGGTGTGAGTTGAGTGCCTTGCTTGCAACAGCTGGAAATACATTGCACATATCTGTGAGGTGTATGTGTAGAATCAGAACTCTTTTCCAGACACCAACTATGGGAGAAAGATACATTATTTGTGTCTCACAATGTGACAGCAAGCTGCACATAAAAAAAAAAAAAAACAACTCATTATATCATCCTGTCTTGATTTTGCATCCCCTAAGGTTGGTACATACCAGTTAGTTCCTTTGCCTGCACCACCTTTTTGGTGTAATACTGCTTTCTCGTATGAGTAACCCCATTGTAGCTAATGAATTTGTTCCTGAAAGTAAACATTCCTCATGGTGGTAGTGGGAAGAGGAGTGCACATTTGGGATATTTTTCAAGAATGAGACAATGTTTGAGTTATCTTTCATTTCCTGAGCTGTCTTTTCTGTCTTTAGTTGAAAACAGTTCCACTTGCTGTAGAAAGGAGGCCCTGATTCCTGAAGGACTTTGGCCTTGTGATTTTCTCTGTTGCACTGTCTCCATTTTGTGTGCCTTGCACTGCATCTAAATTGACCATTCTGAGCTAGATCCTTCTGTTTGGGCAGACCATTTCAGTCACTTCTATGGCTGCATTACCACAAAAGCTGTTATGGTTATAAAATACCTTTTCTTAAATAGTCTGCGGCTATCATTCTTTTGTATGCATTTGTTTCACTTAGTAATCTGAAGAGGAATTTGAAGAGCTAAAATAAAGTATATATTAAAGCACTGTCATGCATGACCAATGCTCAACAAAAAAGAAATGAGAACCTGGCAGCTCATTTGCCACAACAGCTGGGTCCAGCTGAGAGGAACAGGATAGATTTGCTGCTGCAGGATTATGTATCTTTTCTATTCTGTAGGAATCACTACCAGTCAAGGAGCTGTGTCATTAAATGGCTATGGCATTATCCTAGGAGTTGTCCAAATAAATGGTCAATTCAGAGCGTGTGTTTACAGGTTAACAGTATTCTGCAGTCTTAGAATGTTTTTGCCAGTTTCTCATAATTGCTTGAATATTCACAAGAAATGTACTTTTGGCTGCTTATCACCTGCCTGGAGTTAACAGATATACCTGAGTCACTGAAGTCAGAGGCTGCACCTGGGAAATGCAGATAGCTTTCCACTCCACTGATGTGAATGAGCATGATCTGCATGGTGCAGATACAGGTTAGCACTGAACAAGCCTCTTCTCAAACTGCAGCTAGGTCAGCCTTGTCTGCATGGCATTTCACATAAACCTCATTAGACTGTTAGCACTGGTGTTATCTCATCTTGCAGAAAAAGAAGGCAAGACCCTTGCTTGCCCATGCTCAACCAACAGGTTGGAAAGACCTGCAGCTGGAAGCTTCCTGAGTGCAAAGGCAGTGTGCTATCTGCCTGTGGATGCTTCTGGATGTTTGCTCTTAAGACTTTCGGGTCATGTTTTATAGCTTGGCTGCAGCCAAAGTATCAGTGCTCTAACATCAAAATTGGCTTCACTTTGCTGATTCTGATGCAACTGGACAGCTTCCTGGCATGTTTGTTTTAGTGATCATGCCAGTCTGAGGGTGAGGGCAGGTGGTACCCTGCAAACATCTGCAACTCTTCTCTCTAGCTGCTTGTCACCTTGCTCTTCCTTGTCCTACCGTATTCCTCTGGTCTGCTGGTGGAACTGGCCATCTGGCTATCTCAGTGCAAATGTAGGAAAATGTGTCACATTTCTTATCCTGCTGCAATGAGTTTTAAAAACTTTCTAGCTGAAAACCTGCTGCTTTGGAGAGGTAGTGGTTTAAAAATAAATGGGAATTGTTTGCATCCATTCACTTACAGCCATCTCTTGCAGATATGCTCTATTATCTTTTTGTTGTCTTGCATCTTGAACAAAAAGGCAGTTTGTGCATCTGAATTCTTTTAGTTGTCTTTGAGCTAGGGCAATCCCTGGGGAAAGGATGCTGTGTGCTTATGCAGGACCTCTCACAGTGGTGTTGGGGACAATGGACTAGCATCCCTAAATTGAACTGTCCTAAGCACTATTAATGATATTCTGACATTTTTGCCACATTAACAGTTTTCTCCTGTAATTAGTATCTGTGATTTACTGAGTTAAGGTTGGTGTATTTTTGGAAGCATGAGGAGCTTCCTTTGCTGTAATGAGTATCCTCAACACCCTACCTAATGAGACTGAACACTGCGCGTCGTGGAAGATGGACATCTGAGTCCTGCTCCTTAATCAAAAGCCAGCACCAATCTGACAAGTGTCACTTCTGCTCATGAATGATCTCCTTCCCTGGTTGCATGGCAAAAGAGCGTGTTCTGCAGAGGAGACCTTGGTGGCTGCTCTGGGAGTTATGGACTGGGATTTAATTATTAGCAGAGCGTATGTGGCAAGGCGGAGCTCGGAGGTAGCACCCCTGAGCAAATGATTGATGGCCATGTGGCTCTCAACTCGAAACAGCAATATGTCTTTGTCCAAAGGAGCAGAAAATGTCATTGACTGACCACGGGCGTCAGGGATTTATTGGTGTGCTTCAAGAGAAGGAGTTGCTGGGATCAGTTCCAGTCTTAATAGAACTCCCAATTAAGAAGAAGAGACTTTACTTTGAAGATACCTTCTGACTGGTAAAATTAGTTGGGCCCAGAGTTGTTTATGTGCCTAAACTGAAAGCTTCCCTTTATTTACATAGGGATTTGGGCATACTTGGAAGCTTCCCTCGAAGTGACTTTGGGCTACAGTGCATGGTAGCTGTGGAAGAAGGCATGTCTAGAAAAATCCTGCCCTAGATATTCTTTTCCAGGGCTGGGACAAATGTATTTAAGTATGGTAAACAGCAGTGCCCAAACCCAAGAGCTTGCAATGCATGCAGGGAGGACTTAGAACTGCTGGGAAGAGCCATGTGCGTGTACCTGTTGGTGCATCCCAGTGAGAGTTGACCTTCAGTACCCACAGTGGTCCAAATTACGCTTCTGGACAATTTTTCAGGGAAAATGAGAACCTCTCATTGAATAGAAAATTTAAGACTTGGAAGCAAATCACTCTTTTCATCAGCTGGGAAGTACATTTGGCCTTTGTTAATGCAGTCTTGTGGATATTTTGTTAAATCATGAAGTACGTTTAATGTAGATGAGGTCTGTGTTAAATGTCTATCTATTGTTTGTATCAGTGAAATGATCGTTACGGCCCTTAAATTCTATAAAAACATTGTAGTGCTCATGCCAGGAGAGGAAAGCCAGTAGTTAAATAAGTCATTCTTCCTATGTAATTGCTGCATGTTTTTTCTTCAAAATGTTTTTCATATAAGCTTGTGTTTTGCATCATAATAATTATAGCACTTGCATCTTTAATGTACCACGGGAAAATATGCAGCCAGAAAACAAGTTCAGTGCTAGTGGAAAAATGCAATCAAAAAAACCCACCCAAAACAGAATAAGCAAGGGTACCTCAGGGTAGATAAATGTTGCTTATCAGTGTGTAGTGAGTGCCAGAGCTTACTCTTCTTTAAGTGTATAAATAACTGAAGAGGAAGGAAAAGGGCAAAAAATAAAGGTGTTTTAACAGTAGCAATTAGTCTGTAGCTTTCAGATGTTATTCTGTATGACACATTACATCATGCTAATTATTTGGGGAATGAAACTATAAAGCAAGACAAGGAGAGAAAGGAATAAAAATATATGAAATCTAAATAGAATACAGTGGTCTATTGCCTAAAGCAATGCAGCCATTTCAGATATAAAGAGCAAACTGAAGTTATTGCAGTGCTGGCTTAACTGTATATTAGCACTTGTGGGATTAAGCAGCAATGAATGAAAGCAGAAGCGGGTGCAGGATCTCAAAAACACTTAACTACAGAATTAAATTACTGGAACTAATATGTGATGAATTTTGCAAGACAAATCATTCTGTATCATTAAAAGAGTTCTCAAAAAGAAGTATATTACACATTGCAAAAGGTAACTTATTGTAATGTTATTAAATAAGAACTTTTAATTAAACAGAAAAGTTATTGAATCTACTTGTCTTCAGTGGGATTTTAAAATTCAAAATACAGCTGTATTTGAGCTTGTGTTATGACATGGAATCTGTGATACTAATGAACTTCAAGAATAAGGGGATGTAAAATGCACATCTGGTTATATATTGCATGCTTCTGCTGTTACGAATGTCTTACCTGCAAAATGCTGTTAACATTTGTGTAGCCTCCCCTAGAAAACTACACAAGCCCTGTTGGTAAGAAAATCTATCATAGTCTCTGACTGACCTATCATGAATCACAGAAATTACCTATAGGAAGCCTATTAGGTCAAGTAATCTGTGCCTACAGGGTCAATTCAGAGCGGTATATCTGGCAGTAATCCTTGAGCTTTTTGTCTAGGTGGACTGTAAATCACTGCAACAAGTTCCTTGAGTTCCCAACTCTTGGTTTGACACACACCATTTTGAAGTGAGATGTAGCTCAGTCTTAATATTCCTTGTTCTGCCATCACTTCTTGCTGATCTGCATCTGTGCATTCCCTGAACTGCTGGCCCAGGTGTGTTCAGGTAACAACTTCAGAGTGTTCAGCCTGAAAAAAAAAATTAGAGCCTGCCTTCAAAAAGATTGAGACCGAATGCTGGAAGCTGCAGCATATTTAGT